ATATATATATATATATATATATATATATATATATATATATATATATATATACACATATGTATATATATACACATATTTATATATTTATAGATATCTATAGATATATCTATATATCATGTTGCCATTCAGTACACTGAGTTTTAATAGCATATATTGATTTAACATAAATACCTTGTGCATGTGTATATTTATTGCACCTGTATGTTCTATTCAATGTTCTTTTCATATGAAATTCCATGGTTATAATTATTCATAAGTGTGCAGTATCATAACTACATGTCTGACTTTTGTTTAACAAACCAAACAGTTTGAGAATCGTTAGACAATTGAGGAAGTTATGGTTATTTAAGTACATGCGCCTTTAAAACACAATGTTACGAATAAGCGAGCTGCCTGTAGCAAGATGGCCGCCATGTGCCGACGTCGACCCCCATTGGCCAGCAGCGCGGACGAGACATCTAGCCTTTATTATGGATATCTATGGATAAAACAATCTGCTTGGTTCAAATTGTTCATTAACTTGCAGGACATGCTTCTTCTGGGTAAGGATGTGGTGAGAGAAGTTATTTGTTTGCACTTTTTGTTGATTCTACAGCAATCCCCTGCACTGAGCATGCATGATGCACAGTGAGAGGCAAAGCTCCCTTTTAACAAGGAAGGAACCTCCAGAAGAACCAGGCTAAATGTGAGTGGCTATCAGCCGAGGCCAGCTGGAGTTCAAGGAGACAGAAAAAGACATAGAACAAAGTAGAGAAGCAATAATCTATCAATACTTTTTATGCTAGAAAAGGTAAGGATAAACTAGCTCCATAGCTGTCTAGGAAAGAAAGAGTTAAGCAGAAGAGCTCCTAGCCAGTTTCCATGTCAAAGAGATGAAAGAAAGCACATACACTTATTCAGAGTAAAAGCTGAGCCTATGGTTATGTCTAAGAGAGAAACAGGAGTAAGCACTAAAAAACAGGCCTAACTATCATATTTTATAAGATACAAAATAAGGCTGGGTGATATGGCTTAAAAATCGTAATTATTTTTTTTCTTACCAAATCTGATTAAAAATATGTTTCTCTTGTTTCATAATAAAATGACAAAAATGATTAAACACATTACTTAAAAAATAAACTTTTATATCAAGCTGATCTAAATTTAAAGGGTAAATAAATTCATGCTGTAAAAATGCTTGTTGAAAAGGATTTACAACAAAAAATGGAAATGTATGGTTGCAGCTAGTGGTGTGGCACAGTTAGCTAGTTTATCAGTTAGGCGTCCACATCTAAGAACAAAAAGAGATTAACTGATGTCACAGGGAGGTATGAAAGCCCAAGAAGTGCATTACTGGGAAAGGAAAAATCTAGATTTTCAAAAAATTTAATCTTCTGGAAAAGAAAATTAGATCAATCTCTTTGATCCATTTATCACCCAACCCTATAGTGAAAAATAACCAGACACTTTGCTTATGTTTGTATGTGTAATTATAAAAGTGTAAATTGCTCTTGAAGTACAGTGAAAGCTTTTCTTTCTTTTGCAAGACAGTCTTTAGCCAAAATCCTTTTTACAGGTTACATTGTTTAATGTAGCAGCCCCGTACCTCTTCCAATGAGAATTCCCTCCTTGCATAGACATACATGCAGAGCCTCAGCACCACTGAAACTGCACACCAGTGTACATATATAAGCAAGTACATGTGTAGTGTTGTAGTGTTGTAGTAAAGACCACACCAACCAAAACCAAGGCGTATCGAGACAAGACCAAGACGTTTAGAGGCCAAAACCAAGACATTTACAGGCAGAGTCATTTAGAGGCCGAAGCCGAGACCAAGACCAAGAAATTTAAATCCTGAGACTAAGACCAAGACATTTAAATCTTGAGAACGAGACCAAGACATTTAGAGACCAAGACTAAACCAAGACATTTAAAAGGCAAAGACCAAAACAATTAAAGGCTGAGACCAAGATCAAGACATTTAGAGGCTGAGACCAGACCAAGACATTTAAAGGACGAGACCAAGAGAAAGCCAAGAGATTTAGAGGTTGAGACCAAGACAAGACCAAGATATTTAAAGGCCAAGACCTAGAGAAAACCAAGACAATTAGAGGTAAAGACCAAAACAAGGCCAACACATTTAGAGGCAAAGACCAAGACATTTAGAGGCCAAGACCAAGACATTTAGAGGTCAAGACCAAGACATTTAGAGGTCAAGAAAAATACATTTAGAGCCCGAGACCATTACATTTAGAGGCAAGACCAAGACAAAGACAGAGGGAAGACAAGGTCAATACAAGTCATTTATTGCAGAGACCAATATATTTAGAGGCCAAGACCAATACATTTGGAGGCCGAGACCAAGACTATGAAAAGCCAAGACATTAAAGGAATAGTACACCCAAAACATGATTAGCCTTCATTTTCTACTCATCCCCCTAGTTGAACAACACCCTGGAGTACTTTTTTGATATCTCAAATGCATCTGGAGATCTGGGAGGCTTCTTGCTGTCTGCTGACATTCAAATAATGGAGGTCTATGGTGTCTGAGACAGAAAGGTCCATAAAAGTCCACAAAAAACGTGTCAATATTCCTCCATACTGCTTGTCCAATGTATTCCAAGTGTCCTGAGTGGGTAGCATCCAGAATTTACTCGAAACGAAGTCATTTAGAATGTTTTTAGAGCATAAACAGTAGTGTATAGGATTTTCTGAAAGCGCGCACATGCGCGTTCACGAGCCTACGGAAGCCGGCAGACCAAACCAGATGAAAGTGCGCATTCAGCGTCTGCTCTGCCAATAATGCAAGCGTAGAAGAAGAAATGTGCTGTTTACCTGTGCAAAGAAAGAAACAACGAAAGAAAAATGTCTGAGGACTTCAGTGTTGAGGAAGAGTATGAGTTCTTTGCCGAGCTGAATGCGCTGGTTTGGTCTGCCGGCTTACGTAGGCTCGTGAACGCGCATGAACGCGCTTTCAGGAAATCCTATACACTACTGTTTATGCTCTAAAAATATTCTAAATGACTTCGTTTCGAGTAAATTCTGGATGCTACCCACTCAGGACACTTGGAATACATTGGACGAGCAGTATGGAGGAATATTGACACGTTTTTTGTGGACTTTTATGGACCTCTCTGTCTCGGGCACCGTAGACCTCCATTATTTGAATGTCAGCAGACAGCAAGAAGCCTCCCAGATCTCCAGATGCATTTGAGATATCAAAAAAGTACTCCAGAGTGTTGTTCAGCATGGGGGCGAGTAGAAAATGAAGGCTAATCATGTTTTGGGTGTACTATTCCTTTAAGAGCCCAAGGCAACACATATAGATGCAGAGGCCAAGACCAAGACAAGGCCAAGCCATTTAGAGGCCAAGACAATTAGAGGCTAAGATCAAGACCAAGACAAGGCCAAGACATTTAGAGGCCAAGACATTAGAAGGCTGAGATCAAGACAACACAGAGACAATTTAAGTCCAACACTAAGACAAAGACAAGCCAAGACATTTAGAGGCCAGGACCAAGAAAAGGCCAAGACATTTAGAGGCCAAGACATTTAGAGGCCGACCAAGACAAGCCAAGATATTTAGAGTCTAAGACCAAAACAAGAGATTTAGATTTCAAAGGCTCTTGGTCTTGTCTTAGTCTTGGCCTCTAAAGTTCTTGGCCCTGTCTTGGTACTTCTTGGTCATGGTTGGTGGGGTCTTGACTATAACACTATGTATTTGAATCGCTTTTTCCTTCCCATAGTTCTGCATACAGGTTTTCAGACTTAAGCAGCTCCTACATAGTTGCTCTTATTGTTAAAAAGATGATTTCTTGAAAACCCAGTTCCAACCGGATGATCACTACGTTTTAACCACACATATATATAAAAAAAAGTCTTTGTGTAAAATAATCAAAACAGACCTTTCCTCCCCAGTCATATTGCAGGCCTATGCTGAACTGAAACACTTTTCTTTTCTTTTACATTTTCTTTACTCCACTTTGTCCACTGTGTTTGACTTAGGATACAGGATCTGCCAGTATATCCATATGTAATGAGTGAATGTGTGTACATAGAATGTCAGATTTAATTTAAAAATTAATGCACTAAAGTTGTACCATTTTGTTTCTTAATTAGCTTTAATTCTATTAAAGATACGTATAATAGGCAGACGTTTGTGGAAACAGAAACTGTGAAGCAATTTAATTGGTATTTTTTTTTCCTTTGATTGCCTTTGTATATGTGTGCTTATATGATTAAAACAGGTTGACAGTCTCCTTGGTATTTAAGCATTGGCTGCAGTCCTGAACTCCCTAGCAGCCCTCCCTTAGGAAGTCTAGCTCACCAGGTTTTGAATTACTGGTTTATATATGCAATGACTGACTCCGTCCCTATGTGAATAAAATAAAAAAAATCAATTTATTTTTATCAAAACACATAATCCTTTGGACACCTACAAGCAAAACATTGAATTAGGTTGAAATTAGCAGCCCATGCGTCATGGTGGTTGGCACGTAAACAATCAGCTTTGCAAGAAGTTGTCCAGGAACTGAGCTTAAGAAGACTGCATTGGTACAAAATTTAAGTGTGACGTTCAGTTTGGGTTTTCAGGAGGTCAAGTTGTGCTATCATGCAACTACAGGCAAGAAGGGATGGACTCTCCATCTCAGCAGAAATTGATATATTATGTATCGTTTCAGCCTGGTTTTAACATGTGGTCGATGTAACATCTGACAACTGCATTATATAACCACACAGCTTCACTTATTCTTTGACTGTTGGATGCTCCACCGACTGCAGAACCATTTCATCCACATTTAATCCCCTCAGGAAGCAGCTGTTCTTATGGTGGGATAAAAAACACCTCATGTTCCACTTCGCAGACTTTCCATAGCAGCAGCTTACCTGTGCTTGGGGTACTTTTCCTTTAAGGAAGATATAATGAGCTGTTCCACTTTCTGGTCTGTCTCGGTCACCAGGTCAACCGGCGAACTCTTTTGCATGATGGTGATGTCCTTCTGGAGCGCCTCACGGATCATCTAACAGAAAAAAAAAAACAATGACTAAAGACATCTGCCGCTCTAATTAGCCCGATGTGATGTTTATTATGGTGACATATTGTTGGCAGGGGTTGTGACAGATGACAAGGTGTCAGAGCTCTACACTTTTATGAATGTATCGCATTTTTGCTCCATTTTTACTGATGATATCATTCTGACTAAAAAGATTAAGACTTATTTGAAACACTAGATCAGTACTGTTTCAATCCTAGTCCCCTGGACCCAACTTAATGATTATTAGATTCCTACAGCACTTTATGTTATTTTTGAGAGGCTGTGTGAATCAGATCATTTTCCAATTTAGATTTTCTCAGATCCTTAAACAACTTTAAAGGCAATGTTTTATGTGACGATCTTAATATTTTCTTTAAATTCAAAAATATTTGGACATTTAATATGTTTATGTTCAACCAACCATAAAAATAGTCATTTGGCTTTTAAAACATGTCTTTGATATAAGATGATGGCCATTAATATGTTACTATTGAGAAAAAAATAAATATTGAACACAGGGTTTATCCAGGAATGAGTAACTCTAATTTAATGCTTTTTAATGCTCTTAGAAATAATTTTAATGCCATCATCAAGTACCCATGACTCTGTGTTTATATATGTATATATATATATATATATATATATATATACACACACACACACACACACACACACACACATACAGTATACAACACAGCAAAATCCTTTGTTGTCCTTGCTGTCGTCAGGCTGCAGCAATGTCCCGAATTCCTTGTTTTCCAGCCACTTTTGTTGAAATTTGCATTTTCCCATTCTCTAGCTTTTTCTCCGCCTCAAGCTTCTTTTCCAAACAGTTATTTCTGATATAATATATCTGCTGAAATTGTTTTTATCAACTTTTTTTTTTTTATTAAGCGTTTTAAATGCCACAATCACATTTAATAAGTCTTAATGGCAATTAAGGCCTTAATTTAAAAATTAAGGCCTAGCATATCGCTAGTGTCTAATATAGAGCTGCAACTAACAAGTTGCAAGTCGATTAATCTGTCAATTATTTTTTTTCAATCAATAGATTTATAATCGGATAGAAAAGGTTCCTTAAAGAAGATTTTTTTACAAAGTCAAACCAGGTGAAACTGAACCTCTTCCACTTGAGGAGTTCTGGATAGCGCAAATAGATAGAAAAAAACATTTCTTTTATCTTAAATGCAAAATGTTTATATATAATTTACAATTTTTATGTAATTACTGCTCTAAGTAGGTTGCTCTGACAGCTAATGGCATGTTTTAAAGTCTCTATACTCCAGTCAACGATTAGTCTATTACTAAATTAGTTGACAATTATTGGAATAATCAATTAATCACAATTATTATTGTTAAATTAATTGTTTCAGCCTTAGTCTAATGGTTGTTATGGAGACTAAGTGACCCCAGGATGGCAATCAGAACTGCAGCTCTCCAACACTTTTTTTTTTTTTTAATGCTTAACATTTTACATTTACTATAGTAAAATAAAATAACCCACCTATCCACCTGCTATAAGTAACTCTACTAAAATTAAATAAAAAAATGTTTTAACTTTAAAAAGTATACATTTTACTGTTACTTCCATCCACTCTGTGTTTTCTTTTTCCAATCTGTAGTTTTGATAGTTAGTGATTGATTTGTAGATGAGTTGTGTGCCATCTACAGTTGGAACTATTGTATAAAAGGAACCCTTTTCACCCTTGAATTAAATCGAACTAAAGTAAGATTAGATTATTAGGCCCGAGCAGCTCACCGCTGCGAGAGCCTATTGTTCCTGTACCGTTTATTAGGCCCGAGCAGCTCACCGCTGCGAGAGCCTATTGTTCCTGTATCGTTTGTTATTATTATTATTATTTATTATTTTTCTCCGCGTAAAAGAAACAGCATTTTGGAGGCTTTAGCATGTTCAAAAACCTCAAAAAATTTGGGCCCGTAAATTGCCCCCCTTAGTGAAAATTTTAGTTTGTTAAAGGAACCCAAAAAATGGGCGGGGCCCAAAATTTTGGTTTTCCAAACAGCCCCGCCTAACTTTGGTTTTGGGGGGAAAACCGAAAGTCACAGGGGATTTGGATTTGGCGGGTTTGGAAAATTGTTTCTCCCCAAAAATTCATAAAAAAAAGGTTACATTATGGGTTTGCTAAAAAACCCTTACAGGAAGTCAGCCATTTTGGCTCAAAGGGCCCGATTTTTGGTTTTTTTTAAATTTTGTTTGCGCGTTTTTCGCAAAATCCTCCTAGGGACGGTGAGCCTCGGTTTTCACACTTGGCATGAAAGGCAGAAAAAGGCATGTGAGACCCCAAAATTTATAAAAACTTTTTGAGTTTTCCAGCTTTTTAAAAAGGGGTTTTGTGGGCCAGGCCTCGAATTTTGGCGTACCCCCCCAACTTTTTCCCAAAAATGCAATAATTTTTTAAAAACTGAAATGACACAAAACCCTTGGAAAGTTTTAATCCTCTCTGGGTTTCCCCAAACCCAAAAACTGTATTTTTAAAAAACTGTTACAAAATTGAACCCAACGCCCCTAAAGGAAAACCCCAGAAGCCCCTTTTTTATTTGGGAAATGGTTTCCCTCCCCTGTCCTATTTGGGACCTAAATCAACCTAAAACTGTTTTCAGCAGACAGAAAACAGTTTTTCCTAACTTCTTTTAAAGGCACAGGGAGTTTTTAGTAAAATTGGTGTTGCCGTGGTTTCCCCATGGCAAAAGTGGGGGTTTCCCCTTTGAAATAGATTGGCTTCTTTTCCCCCATTTATAATCAAAATCTGCCACCAAAATCACAAAGATGACCCTTTTAGCCCAATCCAAACGGGGAATCCAGAGAAATTTATTTTTGTGGGGGGGGGGTTAAATTTTTCCCTTTACGCCCCCCCTAAAAAATTAACAAATTAAAAACCAAACCCCCCCAAAAAGCCGTTTTTAGTCCTAGAATATTAAAAATTTTTTAAAACACTTTTTGCATAATTGGCCCCCTAACAAAAAAGGCCTCTTGGACCCGGGTTCTAAACCCCACCGGGAAGCCCGGCCCCCTTTTTGAATTTAAATTTTTACTTGTTGTGAAAGCACTGCCCCTTTTTTTCAAAAAATTGTTTAAAATCACCCCTTTTTACCCAAAAAGACAAAAACTTTAAAATACGTTCTTTAAAAGGGCCTGGCTTTTAAGGGGTTACAATAGAAAAACCCGCTTTTTTTTTAAAGTCCGTCACTCTGTTTTTTTTCAAAAGTTTGCGTTCTCGCCTAATATTTGGTCAAGGGGAAAAAGATAATGCCAGGAAAAATTCAGCCCCTAGCCTTGTTTTTCTTAGGAAAAATAAAACTTGGCACAAAATCGGGTATGGCTCCCCACCTAAAAAAAAAATTTTTCTTTTAAAGCCATGGTTTAAAACCCTTCATGAAGTCGGCCATTTTGAATAAAACCGGGTTACCCTTTTGGAAAATAGAATCCTTTTTAAATAATATTCCAAAAAATTTCTTTGTTTTCCCAAATGAGCTACGACTTTTGGAATATTTTCCCTTAATCGCAAATTTGTTTGAGGGTTTAAAACAGCTTAGCTTTTCCCTTTTAAAAAGCCCGTCACTCTGATTTTTCAAAATTTTGGGTGTTAACGGGAAAAATTGGTTGTATCCCCAAAAAGTTTTATAGCAATCCTCAAAATTTTTGGGAAACCCCAGTTTTTCCTTTGATTAAAAAAAAGGTGCCAGTTTGGGGGGTAAAATCTATGCATGTTTGAGCATCTTATGGGGGGTTTTTATCCGCCACAGTTATTTGGGATTTTAAGTTTAAAGGGTTTTTTTTTTCTTTAAATTATTTTAAAAAATTTTTCCCAAAAAAATTAGGAAAAGGCCCAAAATGTGTTCCCTTTTTTATTTTTTTGGTTTTTTCGGGTTTTTTTTGCAAACTATAGATTTTTAAGAAATTTTTTTTTTTTTTGAGTAGGTCCCCCCATTTTAATTACATTTCACCCCCGTTGGGGAAATCACGGACCTCTTTTCAAAAAAAATGTTAAAGTTAGCTTTTTTTAAAAAAGAGATAAAACTTTAAAAATCGTTTTTTTACAAAAACCTGCTTAAGCTGGTTACAATAGCAAAGCGCTTCTTTTAAAATCTGTCACTTGATTTTTTAAACGGGTTTTCGTTCTTGCCTAATAGTTTGGCAAGTGGCAGATTAATTGGGCCCCCCCCCCCCCCGGTTTTTTTTATTCAACTGCCCCCAGTAAAAAGGCCCCTTCCGTTTTTAAAAATTTTTCTTTCTTTGTTTTTTTAATAAATCAACCCAAAAAAAAATCTAGGGGCATGCAAGATGTTTTCCTTGTTTTTGTGGTTTTTTTTTGGGGAATTTTTTTTGAAAAATATGGATTTTTTAATGATTTTTTTTGTTTGGAAATAGGGTTTTTAATAACCCCCTAAACCGGGGGTTTTTGGGCAGTGCTTTTTTCTCCAAACTTTTGAAAATATACTTTTGGGCCCCCCCAATGAGATTGCTACAGCAAAATTTTTTTTAAGATGAGACTTCCCCCAGATATTATTTTTTTTATCCTTAAATTTAACCCTTCCCGACCAAAAAGGTTTTGGTTGGGTTTTCCCCGGCTGGTCCAGAAGTGGGAAACGTTGGGGACCCTTTTTTCCCCTGGTGGGAAGGGGGTTTGGGGGGGCAGGGGGGGCCCTCACTCACCTCCCCCGGGGGTCGCGATTTGGCCCGGGGGGGAGAAAGAGGGGTTTAAGAGGGGGGCGCACAGGGTGATGAAGAGGATGAGGGGGAAACAGCAGAGGCATAGGTGAAGGCGGAGAATTTGGCTGGGGAAAGGGGCGTGGGGGCCCCGCGGCGTTGGTTCCCCCGGCCCCCCGGACCCCTTTCCCGGCGGGGGCGAATGCGAGGGCCGCAATTCCGGGTCCTGGTTTTTAATTTTTTCTTTTTTTATTTTTTCCCCCCCCCGCTTAAAAGAAACGGGTTTTTTGGGGGCTTTAGCTTTTTCAAAAAACCC